ATTTGTGAGAAGCAAACCAATTGTAACAACAGTGCTGCACTGTGCAGAAACAGTAAAGAAACTACAGCAACCAACTAACAGGTGCAGAGTGGCTGATTTACTGGATTAGCAACATTCTGTTGAAATTAGGATATTACTGAACCTGCCCAAGAGAAGAAAACAGATCACAAAATATTTGCACACAGTATTCACTGAGATCAGAGGAAGCTCAGAGGGGAGGAGTGGTTCCCATTTGCAGACAACTGGGAATGCACTTCAGTGAACAAAGCCCTCCTTCTTTTATCTACAGGTAAGTGAAGCTCAGAATTAAATACTTACACAGAGACTGAAGATGCTCTTAGTATCTTGGAAGCCTGGATCAAAAAAGGGAAAAAATAAACAAACAAACACAAACAAAAAACCCAAAACAAACAACAAGCAAAAAACAACAGATTAATTCAAATTTCATACAAACAGTGTCTCCAGTGTTTATCTTTCTTTTCCCTTAAAGTGTTTCACAGGTAAAAACTTATTTTGTTATGATCTGGCCATGTTATCTTCACTGTCATATTCCCCAAATTACCTATACTTCAAGCAATAAACAAAAAAACAAACAAATAAATAAATAAAGGGGAAAAGAAGTGGATAGAAACAACCATCCAAAGCCCATCAAGGAAGATTAAGAACTTGATAACACATTTATTGATTTAAAAAATGTTCATACCTTAAAGTTGCAGTAACATTTCACTGGAGACCTAGCACCTATTACTGCATCCAGATTTACTATAAACCTTCCTTTTGATGATCATCAGAGTACCTCTTGCTACTCATATATACCCCTACATATAATTATCAGTATGTAAAGACTCTGTATTCTAATATGGATAAAACCAATATGGAATATGAGCATGACAATTCTCAGTGGTGCTGCCTAAGATAATATACCCTGGATATTTCCTCCCTAATGCAGTGTGACACAGAGCATGTGCAGCCACTCATTGCTGAACAAGTCAAAACTTAAAGGATCAACACCATATAAAAGTCTATATAAAAGCTATCTGCTTCAGTAAATATTTTTTTGCTAGAGCTAATTGTAGACAAGCCAAGAAGCAGTAATTCTGGCATAAGAGTGGTTCATATCACGCATTCAGATGTCAACTACATGCCATATTTGCAGAATATTCAGTGTCATCTCTTTGTGTTGATCTCACTTTCTAAAATATCTCTCATTACCACTTACGCCTTTAAATCCGGTCCTCTCTTCTAACCTAGTCTCTTTCATGGGAGCTATATAATTGATGTCTATTGTCAGATTTAAAACTGAGGGATTTAAGAGACAAAAAGCATGAAATACCATAGAGAATATTGAATTACACCAGCTGACATTTTCTTGAACACACTACCTCACGGGTATCCTTCCTAATACAAGGAACTGCTCTCTTAGAGGTGAAATAAGCTTATAGACACGTTGGAAAGCATTTTATATGATGCTTAAGTCAATGAGTGACTTGTACACAACAATTAACAGGTAATACACTTCAGAATTAACCCATCTTGACAGCAGTTCTCAAGCCATCGTTTATTTTGCACAACAGAAAAATCTTTCAAAGCATCAAAACAAACCTTTTCCTCCTCAGTTATTTGTGTTCATTTTTCTTAGTGTTTTTGATAAATATAAAGTTAACTTTTGTTTAAACAAAACTATTTTCCCAGTGAAAAATCTATCATCTTGTGCACAATAAAATCACAAAGAGTAAATAGATGTATATAAAAGATCTCTGCTCAGCAAAGTTCTTTTACCTACCACTTCTTTGCTGCCTTAGAAAGCAAAAGGTGTGCTCCAACAAAAATATATCTAAAGGAAATGTAATTGGTAAAGACACATGCATCACCCTTCCACACAAATAAAACCTTTTGGCAAGTGTAAGATTTTGCAATCTTTTACCAATCTCAAAGCTTTTATAAATCTCAAACTTCAGAAGCAACTGGAAGAACATTTGGATGATGAAGCAGACCCTATACTGGAGCTCTGAGGGCAGGACCACTGACTGAGAATCTTCTTGTCCAGCATTTACTTTCCTGCTCAGACTCAAGTTCACCAGACTACAACCTGGACCCGAGGATGGAAGCTCTCTCAGGCTTTTGGTGCTTCTGGGAAAGCAATAAGGATACAGTTAATTCAGGCTCAATGAGGCAAAACAGAAACGGGAAACGTTTTCTAGGACTAGTTTGTCTTTCTCTGCACAATTATATCTGAATCTGGTTGACTACGATCAGCACCACTGATAAGCAAAAAGAATGCAACTATGTTATAGGCAGGTATTTCCTATCTACATCATTGCAATTAGCTGTAAGTAAGCAAGTCTGTATCCATCCAGTATGGCATGCAGAGACGTTGGCTTTGGGCTTAGGAGATATGCTTCTAGTCCTGATCAGCTCCTGACTGCAGATTCAATTTAAACACATTATTTCACACCTCTGGGTCTCAACTTTTTTCATTTGGAAAGCAAATACAGGCACCAATCTCTTGAATAAGTTGGTTCTTGAAATCTACCAAAGCACAGCAGTGTGCAAGCAAGAGATAAAAATTACTATTTTGCAATTAAACAATCGAATGCTCATGGCACAACCACTATAAACAGAAAACCCAACAGATTTAGTGTTTGATTATGACAGAACAATTCTGTAAAATAAGAAAACAGCACCTGACACAGTACAGTAACAACTCTGGTACAAGTATTTTCCTGGTTTGGAATTTATTTAGGCCTCTATTTTAAGAAATTTTATGAGAACAGAGATTGCATTAAAATATTGCTAGAGAATTGTACGTATTCACTGGGCACTTTTTGCCAACAGTAGAACCCAGCAGCTCCTCTGTGGCATGTAGGGCTACGACTTCAAGGTCCATGCTACTTTGGGTCAGACAGCAGAGGCGCCCTGTAAAGCAAACAGCCACGCAGCTTCCTGAGGGACACTCTCCATCTCTTGCTATATGGGTCTTCTGATTTATAGTCAGTTTAATTTTCAAATAAGTGACCCAAATACAGCACCACTGAGTGCTGATCACAAAATTGAACATCCACGTTACCTTCCTGCCATAGACTCTCAACTTTCAACCTTTTAATCCTCGTTTTTAAAGAGGAAAGATGTGGCACTCCAGATCCTCAGAGCTCCACCACCCTGCCAGCCTTTCTCCTCCTCATTCAATGGCCTCTTCAGCTTTTGCTCCTAAATCACTGCCAGTCTGGTGGGCACTACCTCTACACCCATTCCTTGGCTGCTTTCATTGTCTTCTGCAGCAGCACCAGCATTAAGGGTGTTGGTCCCAGCACAGAGCTTGAGCTGATACCCCTGACAGGCCCTAAGTTTGTACCGAGCTCCACACCTTATCTTTAATGCCAGCAGATTTGACCAGTTGGAAGCAGCAGCCTCAGCAATAAGAAGCACTGGCTCAGACTCAGGTGAAATTAAGCCTGGGGAATATGACCCACACACTCCACCAAAAATTTCATAGCTTCTTTCACAGTAAGGTTTCTAATTAAAAGAGTGAAATACAGACCCATCCTTAAATATAATATAACTTGGTTTAATACTCCTGTTCCTTAAGCAGAGTGCTCTTCTTCACCTCACAAAATGCCTGGCCCCACACAACAGGGAAAGGCAAATGCACATTACAAATTCCCTAGCAGGCAGCCCACCGAAGCAAATACACTCAACCTCGGCACATCCTTTGGCATTTCACTAGCATTTGTTTGTTTCTTTCCATTTCTCCTCTTTGGTATGCATCCAAGATGCCCCAGTCTCAAGACATTTACCCAGTTAAATCCCTTTACATAACCTAGCCCCACAAAAACTGTGCTAAGCTCTAGTTCTCCACTTGCGCATTAGCTTTAACAAAAGGAAAACCACACCTCAAATACAAATCAGTTCTTGGGCTTGCTTACGTCAAGCGTGCTTACTTCATTTAAGATATATAACCTAGCCTGTGGGAAAAGTTCATTGTCTTCACCATGTACACAGCAGATCCAAAGCCAGGCTCCCATATGCATTACTTCTGGTGGGAATGCCTGCTGACCCAGCCTTCACCCCTTGAACACATTGCTAGAGATTCTCAGCAACTGCTGAACCAGCCTTCACCCCTTGAACACATTGCTAGAGATTCTCAGCAACAAAAACCTGTCCTACCACCAAATAAATAACAAAACTAATTTTAAAGTCTTTGCAGAAGTTTAGCCATATGCTTTTAAAATGGACTTGTATGTTGCAGACACACATAAAATCATTAAGTCTTTCTAAATTATTTTTAGGAACAAAAGGGATACTTTAAACTGAGGAAAAGGTTAATATTGGAGTCTGGAAGGGGGCAGAAGAGAACCCACTTGAGCCTTTTGGCTTTTTGGTCATCACATATCTGTCCTTCTCTTTCCTGCTGTTCATTCTCCAATCTAAACCCTGAACTCTGATATCTTGTCATTTCTGTGGCAATAGTGCAAAAACTCCAACTGTACTGTGTTTTGGAGAGAGAAAGTATTTGGATGCTGGGAAGTCGGGACTTACTAAAAAACCTGCTTTTAAATAATAGGACAAGAGAAAGTAAAACCATCAGCATTCATAGACCTCAAAGCACTCTACAGAAAATAAATCCTTAATATTCCTAGAAGGTTAGCAGAAACATTACAGTCTCCAGGTAATGAATCCAAGGCCACAGACTGAAAGGCAGTCAAAGGCACTGCTGAGAGGTAACTTCCCCATTACACACCCTTCATGTCAACCACCAGATGATCGATCCACCAGCAAAGTTTACATAGCTCCTTTTTACTAGCAGTTTTCTTAGATCAAGAAGCATTTATTTCCTCAGCATTTTCTCCCAAACCATTTCCCCAGTCTCACCTTTCCTGGAACAAGTTAAATATTAATTCAACCGTTTGAATAATAGCATTCCTTAAATTGCCAGTGAATGAGTGGGAGAAATATGGGGTGTACATGATTCACCTGCATTACACAACTCCCTGCATTCATTAACTTCATCTTGAACCAAATACTTAGCATGCAAACCCAATCTTGAGACAAAACCATTTGTCATAATTGAAACACATGCAGAAAGTAGGTGTCTTAAGGAAAGGAAAAGAAACAAACACAAGAACACAACAGCCCAAGCATAGCTCGTTCTGGTAGGACCATAGTGTATGACTTATGTTTGTGCTGGTTCTTGCCAAAGCCCAGCCAGGTGCCATAATAAGTCGAGTAATTCTGTCATGATGCAGATTAGCCACAGATGGCAGCCCTTAATTTTTTAAAGAAGCAAGGCATGAATATGAACAGCATGCAATAAAATGAAGAAGTTCAAAGGAGGAAAAAATAAAATCAATATTTATAAAAGAAAACAGATGCACTTTATGTGCAAGCCAAAACCACAAGTGATTTTATCAAACACTGTAGCCCTGTGTTCAAACCAATGCAGCTTTGCTATTTGATGTATATATTCATAATATGCTAAAGGCTAAAGCTGAAAGCCAGATTCTGTCCTCAGCTACCACTCTGAAAATGTGAAGTAAGAATTCAGTGTCAATTCAATGCAGATTCAGAATTAATAATCAGAGATATGTGATGAATATGTGAAGAGGAAAACCGAAGTTTGAGCAAATTTGTACATATCATTAGAACTCACAAATGTATGTTGAGCTCATTTGTTATATGCTAATGACAAGACTGCTACATGCACCCTAAGACGGGTTTGACTCCAAGCTTGTGTAACCTGGCAGGTCTACTGGGGCTATGCAAATTTATTTCATAAGAAGATCTGCAGATGTTTTTAATTATTATTTTTTTTCTTTACTTAAACAAGAGATATGCTTTTATGGAAACCTTCCCTTGGCATATAAAACAGGTGAAGACATTTGAAGTGTACATTAAAAAGTCACACTGTACTACCATGTGATAATGCAATGACAAGACAAAATGTCAGAAAAAGTATAAAATACTAAATATATAAACATGAGAGGAGGCTGAAAGGTCTCTATGTATTCAAGCAATAACTCAGAATTTGAGACAGATAACTTTACAATAATATTATAAACACCTCTGTGTTGTAAGTTATTATATTCCACACTGACTAAAGTTACATTTAACAAAGGCTACTTGTATAAGAGCAAAACTTTTCCTTGTCAAAGATACTTTAATTAATAATATCTTATCTGTAATCATCTTTCCTCAATCTCAAAACAGACCATTTTGAGAGAGAATAAAATGCTAAATGTCAAGAAAAAGGTGTCCGTTATGAACACTCACATTATCAACATGAACAGGTTGATTGACAGAGGTGATCTCTTAACAGAGGTGAGCAGAGGTGAATGTGGACAGTACCCTCTACATCAAGATAAAAAGAAGGAATAGTCCACTACACTCAGTAAATCTATTTTAAAGTAGAATAATGAATGACATTTTTCAGATTCGGTGTCAATCACTTCTCTGATTACACACTGAGTTACTTAGAAGCAGACTCATTTCCTCTCTTTGCAAAGAATGCCCTGTGAGCAAAATTAAATACTTATGGTGCACTTGCAATATTGCCAGAATACAAACTTCCATCTGAGTTACACAAGTCACAGGCAGTAACACTGCTTCCCTTTTCCACTTTGCAATCAAAGAAGACCCATTTTAATGGTAAGAAACAATTTTACAGTCTTTACAACAGAGAGGAAGTTTCACTTTACACTTAAAAATTCAAATATATAAGATGCACCTCTGAAGAGCACAAGTGGATTTGCTGTGTTACCTTGAGCAATAACACTTATCTGCTTACTCAGAAGGGCTGTGGGATCAGCTGCTGCTGGCACGCTTCAGAGGCATCGTGCACTACATATACTGATGTTGATGTGGAAGTAATAACTGCTCTCTGCCTGTTATAAAGAAGCTGTGTTTCATGTAGAAGTTGGGGAGAAAGCTGCTCTTTTGTTGACATGCTGTGTTACATGTCTTATGAAGCCATAAAGTTACTTATGGCTACATAAGTATGGCTTCCTAAAGACTCCTATTCCATTCTCTATGCAGAAATCCCAAGCAAGCCTTGCACATTTGTTGAGTCTTTATAAAACATACAGTTAATGCCATAATCAGTTAAAATGCATAGAAAAATGTTACACATTGTGAAATAAAGAGAAATACAGACCGTGACAGACTGCAGCAAGCAATGTGAAAGGATATAAAGATATAGACACTTACATATCCATCATCACAAGGGCTCATAGAGTAATATCCCTTTATGGGCAAACAGGCACACAATAACATAAAGTAGATTAAAAAAAACCAAGTTAACAGAAATAAATTACAGAGAAATGCACAGTTCTAAAAAAAAACAAAACACCCCAAAAATAAAAATTAGCTAAAAATTAACACACTATTAGCTTTGAATAGGGAAGTATAAGCATCTTCTCTCAATCTATGTACTTCTGTGTTTGAGGACTGAAATCAGTGTCACTCTCATGATACATTTACATTGCAAGTTCTCCTTCCAACACCCAGCAAACACATCTGGTCTGCACATGCCTGCATTCTCACTGTCAGTTAGAATAACTATGTACCAAGCACTGACACATTTCTCAGAATATGTGACTTCTATTGGTCACTGCAGTGAAGCAGCTAAGAGAGAGATACCAATGACCATGATACTGATCAGAAGACCTCAGCTTCTGAGAAACCAGCTGCAAGTATTCCCCATACACATAAAGAAAGCTGAGAGACACAACTTCAGGTGTTTCAGCAATGGCATCAATTCCTCATCCCAAAAGACTCCAAGGACAAATTAAGAAAAGTCTCTGGAAGGAAACCTAAGATGTAGTTACCAAAATAAAAAATTCATGGTTTGAGTAATTTAGTACAAAATATGCCATGTTCTCTTTAATTAGATGAAAATGTTTTACTTAGAACAGATTTGTAGCTAAAAAGAACAGTATTAACTAAAAATAAAAGTGCATGGTTCAACACAATGAAATAAGACCAACACTAATTATTCTGCTTCTAGTCTTTTTGGGCAAAACTGACAAAACTTACTTCAGAGGACATGTGTACAGATGAATAAGCACATATAAGCACTGTATTTAGCAATTTCTTCTTTAACAGATATATGCAGCCTTATATAGAAGGAATAAGAAACTTTCCACTCTTAATTGTGAGCAGAAGATAAAGTTCTTTCTATACTTCAACAAATGTTAAAAATCTGCTACTGTTCTTTTTATTACCATCACACTCAGAATTCCCTGATGTGAATAAGTATTTTAACTTTCACAGTACTGGATTTAAGCCAACAGACAACATTGATACGCAAGTGAGTGAGCAAAAGAAACCAGGAGATAACCTGCCTCATGAGAAGAGGACATTTTGACACATGCATGACCTGGGCCAGTGAAAATGCATGTAGGCATCAAGACAAAGATGACATTAAAGGGAAGTTTTAATATTAAAGGAAACAACAAAAGGTTGGACCATATGACTTTTCAAGGTCCCTTCCAACCCAGGCTAATTTAATGATTTGAAGACAGAAAAGTTTGCAAAATTCTCTGCTGATGGCAACACCTTACCTACCTTTAGATAAGAGGGATTTCTGGAAACAAAAAAACCCACACAAATTGCTGCAGGTAGTTGCATCACCTGCAGCAACTGGCAAAAAAGTCATCATATACCCTATCAGCAGAAAAAAAGAACTTCTCTTTGCTTACATAAAGAGGTTGGCTTGTTTCGTCTTTCCCAAATATGTAGTAGTGTATCAGACAGGGATGGAAAAATGAAATATTTCATCCTAAAAAAAGCTTGCTTAGGGTAGATGCTGTTTGCTGTAATGTGCACATTATTTTAAAATGAAAGAGCACACATCCCCATAATGCTTGGTGAATCCACTCTGAATGGTTCAAAGTAATAAAAAAAGCCCACAACTTCTGTTACCCTGTCTCCTAGATTTCATGTGGTCTCCTGGTGCAAAAAACACTTTCACAAGTAAGAAACAGAGTAACTGCCACAACTATCACAGCATGATGGTATGTTCACATTTGCAGTAAAAAAAAGCGGGGAAAAAAAGGACAGACCAGCAAGGTAAAAAAATTCATCCTTTTTTACAGTTTGTTAGTGACAGCTTAACTTTACAGAAGAACTTGTGCTATTGTGTAGTGACAGAACTAAAAATGTTTACACAGCTTCAAGAGTTGTACCAGAAGTGGCCTAAAACTTGCAATGGACATTAATTCAACTAATTGTAGCTACAGGTAAATATAACCAGACTGAACAACAGTAAAAACATAATAGGTATTTATTCTATTCCACAGCACAGGAGCAATATGTACAAATGATTGTACAGCTTTTTAGTCACAGATAGATTCTCCAGTGTTTAACACTCATCTTGACTATTGACAAGACACTGTGCATCTGAAGAAGCAATTCCTTTTTCCTCTTTAATCCAAAGTTTAGAGACTCTTATTACCTTATCCCTAATCCAAGAAATTCCCAGGAAGTGTACATCTTACTTGAATCAGATAAGCTGTTGATGAGTTTTAAGAGTTGCACCTATGCTTAAGAGCTACTTTCAATGGGGAATGAATCGCTCTTCAGTGATAAAGAGCCAGAATCCTCTTGGCTTCATAATATATATTAAACAGAGGATTGTAGGAATCAAGAAACTACAACCCATGCTTCCTACCCATCATACAAATCACTATTAGAAAGAAAAACAAAAAGGAAAAAATAAAACTCCAGTTCTCTCAAGAGCATTAAAGACATAAGGGACTATGATAGATCACTGTGTTGAAAACTATTCTCAAACTTACTATTTCCCACATCAGTTCCCTGTCCAAACAAACATTAGAAAGTCACAAATCTGATTAAATCTTCAAATTAATGTTTCCTCAACTTGTCAGACCTGGGCTCTGAGCTCCTACTCTTAGATCCAGACCTTTCATTTTTACAATTCTCTCAGGTTTCTAATCTCCCAATTCAGGACCACATATGTCAAAAATCATGATGGAAGATGGTGATAACATTCAAATGCAGCTAGGAAAAAAGCCTTATGGTAAAACAGGGCTTCAGAGAAGCCTTGGAAACATCCTCCAACTGTAACACAGCAGTGTGGCCTCTCTCCCAATACATGCAGCAGATGCATCCTGTTAATGGATTGCAGAGCAGGCTCACAAGCTGACCCAGGAGTTCACAGAGCTGGCAAGAGACATCAAGTTGCTCTGCAAAAGAACGAGGTCCAAGTCAGGTTACCAAAGAGCACAAAGAAACAGCCAAGACCAGAAGCTCTTGCTAAATAAGGTTTTGTGGGTATGATTACACTGGGAAAGATTTTTGGTTATGAGATGTCATTGCCCCAGGTCTCAAAGCCAGTTCAGTAAGAAAGACTTGTCCTGGGATTTGTGGTCCTGATACAAATTTCTTCCAGTTTGAAAGGACAGTTCTTCACCTACAGACTGGGGGGGGCATACCAGGAAGCTGATGTTTGTACAATAACAGCACAAATTAGTAAGTGATACATGCTACCTTTATTGTAATTGCAAAGCCTGAGACCTCACGGCTTTATATTACACAATACTGCTTCCCTGACATTAAAACTTGAGGACAGAGTACAATGCACTGGGAACAAAATCAAGTTTGCAGACAAATAATGCTACCAAGGATATAATCCAAGGCATACTCTAATTTCCTTGGGCAATACTTCATCTTTGTTATAGCACTGCTATAGTTCTCCTTCCCAGTATAACTAAAAGCTAGCAGTGTAGAGCAGCTGATTTAACAAAATACACTGTAGAGCTCAAGTCCACGTCTCAGAGAATGATGCATGTTTAGCATTTGCTCTCAGAATCTGCTCCCAATTATCAGTTGTCCCAAGTTGTGCCAGTACAGCTGACTGTGAACTCAAGCACCTCCTCTTTCCAAACTTCAAAATGCACATCCACCCATCCTCTAAGCAAAAGTGGTAGAAATTTATGGCTGCACACCAGTACAACAAAGTAATTTCCTTGCTAATGATTTTCTTTTCTGCTTATCTATTTAGAGATGCTAATCTGTCAAAACTAATTTATTTAAGGGTCTGATCCTGACATTGGTGATGTCAGTGAAACAGGGTCAAATCCTGAAAAACCAAGGTAACAAACCACCATATTTAATGCCTGCCAAAACTCTGCAGACACTGATTTTTTTCTTTTTGAAACATCTCATTTATCTTGCCTACACACTGACCTAATGGTAAGGATGAGCCAAGGAGTTGCCCCTCCACTAGTCTCTTCCCTCTGCAATTATACAGGCAACTGTCTCCTACAGCTGAAGGAATTTTGTGAAATGGAGCAGCTGGAAAGAGCATCTCTCATTAGTTATGAGCAAAAAGTGAAGGGACCTTCCAACACAAATCCAGCACAGATGCTGCAAACTCATGCTGCTACTTCGTCTGGGTCACGATGCCTCCAGCTTTGTTCCAAAACTTCAGTGAAAACCTGAAACCACTTCAGGATTGAACAATAACATCTAAGTGAATAACAATGAGGTATTCTGAGTCCTTGAGGAAAAAGTAACAGGATGCCTTGGTGGCCTAGTGGCAAACAGTCAGAATTTGGCTTTTTGTCCATCTCATCTGTCTTCCTGGATCAACAGAGTCAGGGAGTGGTTAGAACTATTTTGGGATTATGAGGAAGGAATGTAATTTTTCTTCTAAGATGGGCTATACGTATTTTTCCTTCTAATACTTTTGTTACTACGTGTTTGAGTTCATGTAGCAAAACCAGAACTCTCCAAGTGGGAAATAAAGAAGAAAATATGACCAATTGAGTGTCGATAAAAGGTTAAGATGAGGAAATATGGTTATGATGCAGTGAAGGCCTTCAAGACTGCCATCAGGCCCCCAAAACTTGGCTAGTGCCTCAGACAGCCTGGGTGTGTGAGTCTGAATAGAAACAACATTAGATTTCAACTACAGTAGCTACTATTACCTCACCCTCAAGGTGACCTAAGGTGATCTTGACCTAAGACAGTTGAGAAACCCTTAATCTAAACAGTGTCAGTGCTAAAGTTGTCCTCATCCTTCACTAGGGAACTTTGCTGGCACAGCAACTAACTCAAAAAGTGTGGGTAAAGGAGCCATACAGTCACACAGAAATAGTTGGCTGGTATAAAAATAGATACAACTCTGCCAGAAGAACACAGCTTTAGTGAGCTTAACCTGGCTAATTTGGGACAGAAGGGAGGCAAAAATTTACTTCCAGGAGGGGAAAAATCCACTGCCACCAAATTCTGTTTTTCTGACCTATTCACATAGCTGCAGACTGTGCTAAAGCAGCCATAGAAGCACAAATATAGTGGCAAGGGCACTTTCAGAGCAGAAATGCTGTTAGAAGCACTTTTAGAGAAGCAGGAGTAAATAAAGATGATGCATAAGCTCAACAATCATGCTGCAGTTGAGCATCTTTTAGTAGAACAGAGGAAGTATGGCTGCAAGAGATTTTGAGTGTTCACCTAATTGTCCCGGAGGAGCAGCCAAGCATCCACCATTCCTGGTAAATGGCAACAGTTTATCCACCTTTTTCTTAAAAACCTCCAGTGGCAGAGATTCTGACTGAAATACTGTGTTCATACACTGCAGCTTACCCATTTCTTCAATGATCACTTATTTATTTCACAGAGAAGGAAGCTGATACTTATACCCAAAGGCTAAACCATACAAGGACAGATGTTCATGCTAAAATAATGCATTTGACGAGGGCACAGACAGACATATCCAGTCTAGCAATAATCCACCCAGCTTTTATCAGAAGACACATGTTCAGTCACTTCTGCACTCTCTGCAGAAAGGATTAAGAAACAAATCAGCATCTGGCACAAGGATGACACTCCTCCCTTTGCCGCCTTTCCCAAAGGGTTCAAGAGATCAGAAGATCAAGTTATGGTAGAAAGAAAAACAGTAAGAGTGAAACCCTGGCCAAATGGAGCAACTTGAAAGCACAGGAGAAAAAGAGAAGATGGAAGCAGAGAGCAGGAACAGAGAGAAGAAGGCACATGGCTGTACAGAATGGATGATCTCAGTACAGGGAAGGAGATCAGGGAGACACACAGCCACCACATCAGATGGCAAAAATGCAAAAGACTACTGGGGTACATAAAAGCATTATCTTGGAAAGTCATTGGCAAAGAAAGAGGGAAGACCCTTGAAAACTGTTGGTTAGAAGAATGATAGGGAGAGGATATTCATTATTGGGTGGGAGATGGCATAACCATGCACCACAGACATGGTGTAAATCTGAGAAGAGAGGAGTTACAGATAGCCCCTAATGTTGAGGTAGCAGACAGAGACCCTGGTTTCTTCCTGAAACTCTGGGATATGCAGCCTGCAAAAGCTGCTAAGAGAGAACCTCTTGAATATATGATAAGTCAGAGAAAGGAGTTCTGACCATTAGCAGGGAAGTGAGGGCATTTAAAACATCTTGAAGAGCAATGAGGAATAATATTTGTTTCTGAAAATACTAGCACATAGAGAAAAGGGAACATTTTTATTATCTCCTCATCTTTCTGTAGCAGAGTTTCAAGAGGAACAAAATGTACCCATAGCGTCATTGTTATAAAAACCTTGGCTAGAATAAGGAGCAAGAACTTTATCTTTTTCTGCTTTTCCTTCTGCACTTCACAAAGCTCTTCTACTACAAAGTATACATGAATTTCTGCCACAGCAAAAATAGTAAGCACAGTTCATGATTTTGGCTTGTTTTTCTAAAGTAGTGGCACACATAGTCTAACATTAAAATGTTTTAATGTTAAAGCTTATTTGAAAAAAAATTTAACAGGCTAGGTATTAAAAAAGGTTGTACCACTGAGCAGCTCTCACACTATCATTAAGTAATTTAAAATTTCACATCCCCAGGTACAGTTTCACAGGCATTAGAAACTATCCTAGGCTGGTTCTGCTGCTGAAGAAAAGCCACAACAAACACCTCCCTCTCCATTTAGGCAGAAGAGATTGAGCAGAACATTAAAGGGCACAAGCAGAACATTGATAGGTACACTGCAGCCATCTGAAAAGGAACAAGAGGCTGGTGGAGTGGGAAGAAAAAAAACCCCAGGCACCCTGAGCTACTTATCAGTAAGATCAAAGATCCTTAGACATGGATTAAAGCCCATCATGTATATCAACAAGTCTGCTTAGGTGTATCATCTAACTGCCCATCTAACAACCAGCTCTTACAAAAAAAGGAAATCCTCCCTTCCTCCTCTTTTCCCCATTTGTTCTCATGATCCTGCCTGATGCTTCTCCTTCAGCTGGCTAAGCCAAATCACTGGGGTTACAGGAGCATCACTGACAGCAGAAAGGAACAGGGCACAGTACAAACACCTCTTTTTTTTCATTATGTTTTATCTTTAATATCTCACATTTGTTGTTCAAGATACATCTTAAGCAGTATTGTCTTTTCAGATAATTATTGTAAAAACCCCCAAACATCAATACTTACAGTTCCAGGCCTTGTGAAGTCAGTACTATGAGCTACACTTTGTCTCATCTGATTGCTACACAAGCGAACACAAATGCTATGAAGATGTTCTGCTGAGACCTAAAAAGTAGAAAACAAAGAGAGAATAGTGTCATATAAAACTTACACTTTCTACCAGACAAGTGTTTCTATACTAAAGGTGTGGGGTTTTGTTTGTTTTTGTTTTTGTTTGGTTTTTTTTAAGAGTGACAGAAATCACACATCTGAGACTCACTGATGACAAGCACAATGTATATACTGCAACTACAGTTCTGTTCAGAAAACTATTAACTTCTTTCCTCTGGGAATAGTTATGCTATTCACAAGACTAACACTAATCACTTTCAGAGAGTCTAGAAGAAAACTAGAATTTGTCACACCTCTGTTTGCATACAGATTTTCCTCAATCAAAAGGTAAGTTCCCCAGGAGTAAGTATGAAGCAGTTTTGTGTTTCAGAATTGCATAATGATATGCTGATGTGCTGTCTAGCTAAAGAGCAGAACTTGCACAACTGATTTCTACAGCAGAGAGAATAATTATGAATTACAAAATACAATACTTGTGTTTCAAAGCAAAACATCTCAGTAGGTTTCGGTGGTGGTTTGTTTTTGTTTTGTTTTGTTTTGGAAAATCCATGCTACAAAAGAATTGGTTAATTTCAGAACAGTTATTAGCTTCCCAGCACCGAGGTGAGAGGACTGTGATTATAGGAATGCGCATGGGCACACTTCTGATATTCTAAGACAACAAAACCCTTCACATGCAGAATGCAGAAACTTCAACATGATAGTACCGAGCACCCAACTCCACTTGGGGTTCAGAAATGACAGAAACCAAGATTCATAACGAAAGAGCTCCCTCAGCTGGACACACTTGGGAAGGACCAAACGACCACCCAGCACAAGGCTTATAAAGGAAATGAAACAAGCATCCCCAACAACAGATCACCAGTGGCTGGTTCCTCCACCACAGAAGGTAAGAGAGAGAGCGTGCTGACGTGGGAAATGGGAGGCAACAGATTCATTACTATGTGTTTCTTACTGTTATCAAAGCTCATGTGAGCAAATACCTTTCTTAATCTGCTGGAAAGCAAAATCCACACCTATAGGCAAATTCTTCCTGCATTAATGATGTGAGCAGGCTGATCCCAGATGGAGAGTAACAAAGTACAAGATGTTCAGGCTGATGACTGGAGGAAGGTACATACTGACTTGTCACTCCTAAGTCATTCTCCCTGCTATCAATGCACAGCTCCATTAAAAGCACGTCTGCCATAAGAGTAACCTTCAGGTTTGACAGAAGTTACAGTAGAGAAGCAGGCTTGCAGAGAAGGGGGTATGAAAGATGAAGCATAAGACATATACAGAAAATCCTCATAAGCAAGTTGTACCTTCTCCAATTATGAACATGTGGCCCATTTTACACAGGGAATAACTCATTGACTCCTACCCCAGTTCCTTTTACTAACTAAATTAACAAGTACAGCTTAGCAGAACAGAGCCAAGCTTTTCCTCACTAAAATTTTGGATCAGAAGTTTGTTTCCACCAAAGTGTAACTTAAAGCAGACCTGGCACCAGTTTTAAACATACAGCCACCTCTGATGAGCTGGATTGCAGTCAGTAATCACAGAAATGCTCTCTAATCACTGCTGATGCCAAAGATCACAACACATTCAAGAGATCAGTCTTGTGACATGGTGGTAAGTTTCTTGAAGATTTCTGAGCCAGCCCAACCCAACTCATCTTTTGCACTACCTCTATCCTAGTACACCGGGGCAATGGAAGAAGCTCTCATATAAAATGCTGCGTTTCATTAGTAAAGAGAGACAGCACTTACAGAAACACTCATAACTATGAAGCTGAATTCACATTTTAGTGGCACTGTCTCTTCATTTTCTGGGGCTGGGGAAGCAAATACACATCTGAACCCCCTCTTACCGTCTTGCCATTGACTATGGCCTTCAAGCAATCCACCAGATCTGCACTGACTGTAATGAGATTATGGTAGCTCTCCTGCAAGTCATTATATTGTTTCTGAGAGGTCACTAACTCTTCTTGAAGACTTTGCAACGTTTCTGTCAAGACAATAACAGAAAAGAAATCATATCACATTTACAAGTGAAAGGTAAAAAGAACTCACAAGCATTTTTACTGCTCTGAATGGACTTCAACTGCTGCTGTGGAGTTAACTTTTATCAAAAGGGTGAAATTTCACTGCAAGGAGAATTCCACACTCCTGGTGTGATTTCATTTCATTGCAACAGTTGAAAGTATTTATTTTGCCTTAACTGCCCCAAGAACCACTTGCTTCACAGCTACAGCAGCAGCACAACTCTCAGACCGTAAACATCACTGAATACGTTTGTGAAGAGGATACGGTTATAAAGGTGTGTTAATACAAGAAGTTCCATAGAGAAAAAAGGAGGCTGTGGGCATTGAGTCAGAAGAATATATGACAAAATGCAGCTCCAACTTGGGTTAACAGAACTTGCTATCTGCAGGTAAGATTCACGCACCATCTTCCCCATTCACTAAAGTAACAGTAGGTACAAAAAATAACCACACAGAGCAAATGGAAAGGTCAAGCTGCCACTTCAAAGATACAACAGGACCAGACAGTACCCAGAGATACACGCCAGTGTTTGTTAGATTACACTGTGAGCCTGGCTGTTTCCTCCAGTTAATTTCTAGAAAAAGACCACTGATATTTAGATTATGTAGTGTTTTGCTTATTTAAAAGTTAATACTTCTATCTTTTAAGGAAGATAGTACAACTCACAGCAAAAAAAGGTAACACCCAACATTCAAGTTATCCAATTCCTCACCTGTTATTAAAATAATCACAGAATTCCTGTAAGTTGCAGGAATTTCTCTACTTCTACAGAAAATTTGTCAGGTGATTCCATCATTTATTGGTTGATGGTAAGCTATATTAGTTACTTTTAGTACTTTCAGTTTCTGAAAATAACTCAAATCTTTATTTTATTTTAAAGTTACATTCCTG